AGCTACTTGGGTGACTGAGGCAGGAGAATCACTTGAACCCGGGAGGTGGAAGTTGCAGTGAGCCAAGATCCCGCCATTGCACTCCAGCCTGGGCAACAAGAGCAAAACTCCATGTCAAAAAAAAAAAAAAAAAAAGTCATGTTTTCTTATTTAATGGTAAACATATTTCTCAGTTGGGCTGGTGTCAATATAATATTAACATCAGTGGAGTTAAGAAAAAACGCCTTAATGAAGATATCCTTTATTATTAATTTTAGTGGGTTATTGATTAGGACACCATGCTGTGCCACGTTAGAATGTACAGAAGCTATGGGGTCAGATGGGTTTTGGTTTACATCTCAGATCTTCTACTTATTAGTTACGTGACTTTGAGATTATTGCTTAGTATTTTAGTGTATGTAGTTGCTGCAACTCAAGTAGCAGGCATTCAATACTCTATTATTGTTCATGTTCCTTTTTTATGATGAAAGAAGTGTTTCTGTTGGATGGACGTGCATGGATTCCCCAAACTGTATTGGATCATAGAAGTCTGGATTTGGAGGATGACTGAGCGAATCCACTTCCCCCTGGTGAAAGGCCTCGGTGTGCTGATGGCTGAGGCCTTGCTTGTGTTGTCATTTTCACCATCAGCTCCGTTTACTTTCTCCGGCGCCAGCAGGAGGAGCAATGGCAAACAGCACGTTATTAGTCACTGTTGCGCTTGCCACCAACATTTCCAACTAAAAATATGTATTTTAAACTACATGTTTGCTCATCTTAAAGAGTTAGATTATAAACTGTTAGAAATCAGGGACTATTAAACAACCATTTTCATTTGCAGTGGATTCAGAATATAATCGTCTTGAGTTTGGAAAGGATGTGTCCATGAATGCCAAGTGAAATGCTGTGCAGTTAGGAAACACGAGGCCTTCCCTGCCTTCTCCAGCCATTCTTAAGTGGTCCTTCTTCCAAAGCCGTAGCACTTTACACCTGCAACTGGGGAAAGTGGGATTCCAGTTTGAGCCTAAGATATGCTGTCAGTGGGCTTGAGGTATATCTGGCCTGCTGAGAGTCTGTTTTCAGGAGGCACTGGGGAGCCTTCTAGGAGACGATTCATCCTAGGGAAGCGGGCACCGGGCCCAGAGATCTCAACCAGAAATGGGAAGGGAGGACTGATTCCAAGTATTATGCGGAATTTTTTAAAAGCTATTCATGCTCTCAGGACTAGGCAAAGGGTAGGCGATGGGCAGGGAAGGAAGTGTGGGCTGGCTGCAGGTCAATAGGGATTATGGGGAAAAAAATGGAAGTGGTCATTTCCCTTTCAAAACAGCTGAAGACTCTGGAGCAAAAGTAACATGCTTTGGTACCAGCTGGAAAGGTACTGTCTGACTGAAGCCTGGGTGGAGAAATGTTACCCACCCACGCCCAGAGTGTAGTGAAACTTCAGCACCTTGAGGCCACCAGCTTATAGGCAGCAGGAGTGCCAGTGGAAAACTGAGGTGCCCAGCAAAAGTGGCTCATACCCATAATTCCAGCACTTTGGGAGGCAGAGGTGAGAGAATTGTTTGAGCTCAGAAGTTCCAGACCAGCTGGGCAACAAAGTGAGAGACTCCATCTCTATAAAATTAAAAACCTTAGCTGGGCGTGATGTCTCACACCTGTATTTCCAGCTACTCAGGAGGCTGAGGCAAGAGGATTGATGGAGCCCAGGAGGTTGAGGCTGCAGTGAGCTGTGATGACACCACTGCACCCTAGCCTGTGCAACAGAGCAAGACTTTGTCTCTGAAAAAAAGAAAAAAAAAAAAAAAAAAGAAGAAGAGAAAATGGCACCTGAATACGTTTAAATATAAACCAGCTCTAAACTACATCACTTCAAGAAGTAGCTCTTCAGCAGGCCAAGGGAGCAGGAGGTTGCTTTTCATAGCTTAGCAGACAGGAGAGACCCAGTCTCCTACCGTGGAGAGTAGCTGGCAGTAAGAGGAAAGGGTTTGTGCTGTGTGGTCTTATCTGTGGGCTTACGTGTAAATTTGCCCTGGGACTTCCAAGAAATAATCAGCAGGGAGAACCCATCAAGGGCTTTGGGGCTGGCATTACAGGTGGTGGACAGTCAAATATATGCTGTGGCCAGCGAAATCTCGGCGTGAGAATGAATGCACACTCAGGAAGTGGCTGTGTAGAAGGAAAAGGCAGCTGTGGGTTGGGAGTTTTCTGGGGAAGTCCTGGGAGAACAGAGAAAAAGTTTGATGAGGAAGGAAAGCTGCTGCATCATAGAACCATTGAGCTGCAAACTTCCTCTAAGTAGAATTTAAAGTAATCATGCTGTCGAGTGTTTCTCAGCATCAAGTAAGCATACAAAATGCTTTTAAAGAAAATAGTGCTGGGTGCAGTAGCTCATGCATGTAATTGTAGCACTTTGGGAGGCAGAGGTGAGAGGATCGTTTGAGCTCAGAAGTTCTAGACCAGCTGGGCAACCAAGTGAGAGACCCTGTCTCTACAAAAAACAAAAAAATAAAATGAGGTGAAAACTTAGCTGGGCATGATGACTCAGGCCTGTATTCCCAGCTACTCAAGAGGCTGAGGCAGGAGGATTGCTTGAGCCCAGGAGGTTGAGGCTGCAGTGAGCTGTGATTGCACCACTGCACTCCAGCCTGTGCGACAGAGCAAGACTTTATCTCCAAAAACAGTAAAAGAAAAGAAAATGGTACCTGAAATACATTTAAATACAAACCAGGTCTAAACTACATGCAATCATATATAACCAGAAACAAACAAAAATGTACAAAAAAGATATTCACATTAAAAAGAACTTAAATTAGTGATATTAACTAATGGAATGAATGATTTTGTGTTGCTTAAATTTAAATCACTATACCTGGGGAAAATGTCATGTAGATGGAATCACATAGGAGTTTTTTGTTTGTTTGAGATGGAGTCTTGCACTGTCGCCTGGGCTGCAGTGCAATGGCATGATTTCAGCTCGCTGCAACCTCCGCCTCTTAGGTTCAAGCGATTCTCCTGCCTCCGCCTCCCAAGTAGCTGGGGAATTACTGGCGCCCCCCCCCCCCCGCCACACCCAGCTAATATTTTGTATTTTTAGTAGAGATGGGTTTCACTATTTTGGCCAGGTTGGTCTCAAACTCCTGACCTCATGATCCACCCGCCTCGGCCTCCCAAAGTGCTAGGATTACAGGTGTGAGCCACCGTACCTGGCCGCAAAGGAGTTTTGAGTTCAGAAAGCTTCTACTCCATGTGCTGAGGGCTGCTCCAATTCACCCACCACTCCTAGCCGTTTAAACTCCTGAAAGCAAAACCATTCTTATGACCAACCTGTCCTTAATTTGCTTAAATTGGGAGAACTTGTTTCATTGGTACTAGCTGGGGGCGAAGTTGCAAGCCGAGGAAAAATCTGCTTGTCCTTCTAACACCTGAACGCTATTCAGGGGGTACACTGTGATGAGAAGCAAGTAATCTGTGAAATCCCAGAATGTTCTGTAAACAAATGATTTGATGATGTTTTCCAGTGAACTTATGTGGCTCTCTAGCATTGTTACATCACAGCATGCATTTTCTGAAAATCCTTGAGACCCAAGAGAAAGCATCTGCTCATAAAATCTTCCCACTTTGCCATGTGCACTGGCTGTGGGGGTGGGGTTAAAGAGGAGCTTCAACTCTTTACCCACTCACATGAAGCTCATTGCGGGTGCTCTAACTCAGGAGGGTGTGTTGTCGGATCTTTTTCCATGCCTTGCAGTGTTCAGAATTTGCAAAGAATTTTACCATCTGCTCTTTCTGTGTGCTGATGTCACACAGAGCAGAGTGTATAAGACTGTTCTTATCCCTCAAACTTTGCCTTTTAAGGAGAGGCACAGTTGTCCAATTTTAGGGATAAAGCAACTCCTTTTTTTTTTTTTTTTTTTTTTTTTTTTTTTTTTTTGTTGCTCTTGCTCTCTTGTGTTTTTCCTGGAGAAAGGCTAGAGTCGGTTTCAAGGATGGTTTTGAAGATCCCTGGCTCTGGGCATGAGGGTCCAGTTGAGCAGGAATCTTTGTTGTTTCATATGTTGGCTTCGTTTCTGACTCTGGAGGTGCTGTGAGCCTTTAAACTATAGGCTTGAGCTGAAGGTGGCTGTTTGCCTGTCTGCCCTCAACAGCCCCGTTCTTGTTTTTCCTCTCCTCTCTCTCTCTTCCAACCTGCCTCTGAATGCCTGTTTGCTCCGTGTTGCCATTTCTAATCACAGCCCCCACCTCTGGCCACTCCTCCTGCTGTTCTCTGCTGGTCTTTTTCTTCTCTTTGTCTTTGTCCCTTTTTATGTTTTAATCCGTGTTTCTCATCTCTTGGTTAAATGAGTTCTTCTTTTAATCAGCATTTTCTGAGTCTGTGCAGGTTGCTATAACAAAATGTCATAAACGAGGTCGTCTAATAAACAACAGAAATTGATTTCTGACAGTTCTGGAGGCTGGGAAGTCCAAGACAGTAGTGTTGGGAGATTCAGTATCGGGAGAGGGTCTGCCTTCTGGTTCCTAGAAAGCGCCTCTAGTCTTTTCAGCTCCTTGTAAGGGCACAAATCAATGAATACTCCATTGATGACTTAATCATCTCCCAAAGGTGCTACATCCTAATACCATCACATAGGGGACTGGGTTTCAGCGTAGGAATTTCGGGGAGACACAGACATTTAGACTTTTGCCACCATTTGATCAGAGTGTTCTTTTTCTTTGTTCTCAATCACTGACAAACAAGCCGTAGCCTATCAGGGGTAATGTGGAGGCAGTTACCTCTAACTCAGGGCAGTGCAAGGACAGGACCTTCGAGTGTGTGAAGGCTGATTCTGAGCCCCAGTGAGCTCTGTGTCAACAGTGCTAGAAGGTACTGATGTTGGTATCTTCTTCCAGAGGAAACTGTCCCTTGGGGCTCGCTGAAATGCAGGCACAAACGCACGGCGACCTTCCTGGGTCACAGGGGGACATCAAAAAGCATCTCTTCTCTGTCCGACTCCCCTCACGGCTGTTGTTATCGTTGGCAGGACTCTCCTTCAGCAACTCCAGAAGCTTCAGACTTTGGTGATGGGCAAGGTTTCTCGAACCTGCAAGTTAGCTGGCACTCAGACTGGCACCTGCCTCATGGTGAGCTTCCCAGCAGGGCAGCACGATGACCAACACCGACCTGGCCCCTGTCTCCCATCTCCCTCCACTTGCCACGGCCAAGTGCTGTGCAATTAGAGAAAGCACGTGGAGGAACTCCACTCCGAGGCTCTTCCTTTGTACGGCACTCCTGTGATGTGGATGTGACTCGTGAGTGCAGTCCACTGGCCTGAAGAGGAGAGTCTGTGTCCCTGGCTCTCCAAGCTTATAAAGCTGTGCTGTCCAGAGCCTGAAGTCTGCAGCCCCTCATGTTCTCTCTCCCCACCCACAGGTTGTTGTGCTGTGCTTTGCCGTTGCATTCGGCAGCTTCTTTCAGGGCTACGGGCCCTATCCTTCTGCCACCAAGATGGCTCTGCCTAGCCAGCATTCCCTGCAAGAGCCCTACACAGCCTCCGTGGGTAAGATGGCATGCGGCAGCTTGGGCAGGGTCTTGTTTTATTTCTCTAGAGCTGGGTTTCTCAGCCTTCCAAAAGGAATCTTCTGTGAAAGTCCAATGTTTAAAAAGTGGTAAAAGTGGAGCTTCTCCCTTTGAAGAGGCAAGTGGGGGTTCTCTTGGGGCCCCTCATCCACTGGGCTGAAGCATCACTGGGAATTCTCTAGAGCTTGAAAGAGCACAGTTTGCAAACTGCTGTTCTAGACTGGGTTCCCTGATCAGTGCTGACATCTGATTTTTGAGTTCTGATAAGGAAGAGGGAAGTAGATGATGGGAAGAGTATGTCACTTTCTGTGACATTTTAAGAGAGCTTCCGTGTTTCTGCCTCCACTGAGTGGAATTGTATGAGACCATGGTAAGGATTTACAAAGTGAAATTAAAGAATCAGCCTGTCTTAACAAAACCTTATGCCCCAAAATCAGAGATTTGGGCACTCAGGTGTCAGATAAGAAGTATATGGTTTTTCTCATCTAGAAATAAAGGGACGATGAGTAAAGAATACACACACAAATTCACACATACAACAATAAGAACAAGCATGGGGTTAGGCAGTACAGTAGTCCCCCTTATCAAGTTTTGCATTCTTTATGTATTTATTTATTTTTATTTTTTTGAGATGAAATCTTGTTCTGTCGCCCTGGCTGGAGTGCAGTGGTGCAATCTTGGCTCACTGCAACGTCTAACTCCCAGATGCTCCTTTAGCCTCCCGAGTAGCTGGCATTCACCGTCATGCCCAGCTAAATTTTGTATTTTTAGTACAGACGGAGTTTCACCATGTTGGACAAGGCTGGTCTCGAACTCCTAGCCTAGGTGATCTGCTTGCCTTGGGCCCCCAAAGTGCTGGGATTACAGGTGTGAGCCACTCCGCCCTGCCAGGTTTTGCCTTCTAAGCATTCAGTTACCTGCAGCCAATGAACATAGCTTCAGTTACCTTAAAATAGCTGAATGTACTACAATAAGAAATGCTACCTGCAGCCAATGAAAATACCTGCAGTTAGCTTAAAATAGCTGAATACACTACAATAAGAAACATTACCTGCAGCCAGTAAAAATACCTGCAGTTATCTGAAAATAGCTGAGTATACCACACTAAGAAATTTTGAGAGAAGAGGACACATTCATGTAACTTTCATTAGAAGATATGGTTATAATTGTTCTATTTTATTATTAGTTTTTGTTGTTAATTGCTTACTGGCCTAATTTCTAAATCAAACTTTATCATAGGTACATATGCATAAGAAAAAGCATATAACCTATATGCTGTATACCCATATATAAACTCTATATGATTTTTCCTATACATATATACCCCTTATATACCATATATAATCATATATATGGTTACATATATACCCTTATGTACCATATATATAATCATATATGTGGTATATATATAATCATATATATGGTATATAAAGGTATATATGTGGTATATATAACCCTTAGGTTATATAGAACTCTTATGGTATATAAAACCTGTACCATATATATACTCTTATATACATTATATATAAGGTTATATATGGTATATAAGGGTATATATATATATGATTATATATAGTATATAAGGGTATACATGGTATTTATAACCCTTAGGTTTTATATATATATGGTTATGTATAGTATATATAACCCTATGGATACCATATATAACCCTTATATATATGGTATTCATACCATATATATAGGGTTCAGTTCTGTATTTGGTTTCAGCCATCCACTGGGGGTCTTGAAATATATGCCCCATAGATAAAGGAGGACTACTGTTCTGGATTTAGGATAGGGACAATTTTGCCATTTTGAAACATCTGTGGTCTTCACCAGGCAGCTGTATCTCTGCCAGGTATGACAGAAGTGCCAGTATTCCAATTAAATAATTTCAGTGGTCTCTTGGGAATTTTTCCCCCCAAGGGACTATCTCTCTAAATTTATTTGGAAGCATAGTTTCTATGTCATGGAAAATTGCTACAGAGCCATCTAGCATCTAACAAAGGAGGTTGTCTCTGTCCTTTGATTTATGGCGTTGACTTTGTGTCTCCTCTCCAGTTTCTAAATGAAATGCCCCGTATCTCATCTCCCCGCAAGACCTACTCACTGGGGATGCTGCTTCTTTTAGCTGGGTCTGGACATCTCCAAGTATTCCACTCCCATTCTCCAGAAGTCCTTTTCCCTAGATGGTTATGGGTGGTAAGGAGGGGAGTTTTGTATTTTCAAAGCAGTGGGGGTAGTAGTTTGCCTTGTGTTTATTTGCTTCTCTGTTGTTCTTCCATCACTGTGTAATTGGTATAATTTTTCAATGCACAAACTCTAAAGCCCTGAAGTCTTTATAGAACACCAAATCCTGTTGGTACCCACAGTTCTGGGCAATAAGAACACACAGATTGTTAGCTGCCACCAGCCCTGAGCACCTGGAGTGAGGGGATGTGTTGGACCCCTGTGGTCTTTTGCTAACACCTTGTTATTCTGCTCTGTCCTCAGTGAGATCCAGGAACCTGCTGATCTACGAGGAGCATTCTCCCCCAGAGGAGCCGTCCAGCCCTGGCTCGGCTGGCGAGCTGGGGGGCTGGGATAGAGGTTCCTCCCTGCTCAGGGTGTCAGGGCTGGAGTCCAGGCCAGATGTGGATCTTCCCCATTTCATTATCTCGAATGAGACCAGCCTGGAGAAGTCAGTGCTCTTGGAGCTGCAGCAGCACCTGTGAGTCACAGAAACACGGATCCAACTCCTCCAGTGCTTGATGGCGGATTATGAGTCAGCAACCTGGAATGTGAGGTTGAGACTCTCCATAGGCCTGGCTCAGTCCCTCAGCTCTCTCAGAACCTATCTCCAGGACCTAGGGCTGCAGAGACTCTGTTGCTGGCCAACATCTGCCCTGGACAGAGATGGGGAAACAGCCCAGCCTGAGCTCCTCTATGTCTACTGCCTCAGTGGGGAGCTGGCATAGTGGCCCCAAGAAGTGGGAAAGGGCTTGAATCCCTTCCCCCACCGTCTCCATCATCCCTCCCAACCCACACGAGTGAATGCAGAGCCCAGGTTACCACAATGTATTTGCTGTGTAAATACAGCTTTAAGACATGTTTTATAGCTTCAGTGAGGGAGTAGATCTATATTATGCTGCATGTCAATATATGTTTATGATTTATATGTAAATACACATGTGTTCATTAAACCTGTAGATTTTATAGTTTTATACTGACAGATGTATGTTGAGGGGCACTATTTCAGAGGCACTGGGCGTGCATTTCCATGTTGAAAACAGCCTCTATTTAGCTTCAGTTCCCCATGAGTTGTTTCTCTTAGATAGTTTCTGGGGAAAATCTCTTTGTAAATATAAAGACTTATGCAACTACAAGCTATTGTCATTGTGGTAGGGAAGGTCCCTGGGCCTGCATGCACGCTCCTGGTTACCTGTGGTATGGTTGATGATTTAGCTGAACTCTGCTCCCATAGCTCCCAGAAATGAGGCTGTTCCGATGTAAATGGGAAAGAGTTTGTTTCAGATTCTTCAGCTTCCATCCCCTAATCCTGCAGGGGAACATTCAGAATGATGTACTTTTATGTGTACACGTTATACATACATATTGAACATTTACTAGCACTTACTATTTTAAGCATTTTACAGATGTAAGGCAGGCTGAGTATCCTTTTTCTGAAATGCTTGGGACCAGAAGTGTTACAGATTTCAGGTTTTGGAATGTTTATGTTATCCATAACAGTTAAGCATCCTTAATCCAAAAATCCAAAATGCTTTGGTGAGCATTTCCTTTGAGTGTCATGTCGGTGCTGAAACATTTCTAGATTTCGGAGCATTTTAGATTTTTGATTTTTGAAACTGAAACAGTATCAGACAAACAGTATCATACAAATCCTTTTAGCCACCCCAGGTGATAAGACATCACTATTATTCCCATTATAGAGAAACTTCCCAATGTAGCCACCACTGGGATCTATGGAAGACCCAGCTGCCTGCTTACTTGGCTCTGGACACAGTTTCTCTCCTCAGCTAAGCTGTTCAAGGCCCCCTTCAAATCCTGTTTGTTCTGTGATGTCTCCTAGATAACAAAGCCTCCTGGGCCTCCTCTGAATGCTTACAGATTTTCTAGGTTGTTACACAGTTTAATAATGTATTTATTTTCTGTTATAGATTTGTTATTTCAAATTAGCTCGTTAAAAATCTTTATCTGGATTATTAACGCTTCAAGACCACAGATCAGCTCTTACCATTTTGTTTTCTCCTTCCCTGAGTTTAGCATAGGGCTAAACATCCTTAGTAAGTACAGTAACTTAATGCATCTCATAACAGATCAATATCAAGCCACCATGCTTATCCTCAGTAGGGTTGGGATGCCTTGGGTGGGGATAAAGGTAAGAATGTGGACCAGTGGAGAGGCTGGTTGCAGGGGACTTTGGAAACAGAATTGCTACTAGGAGAGAAACGGAGGAGAAGCATGCCCAGTTCATATCACCAAGTTGAAATCCCTGAGTGATTGTGTCACACTACAAAGCATGAGAATTGTAGCTAACAGCTGGTGACTAATACTTCTTTTTCCTTTCAATGCCTTCACAGGGTCGGCGCCAAACTGGAGGGGAATGAAACACTAAAAGTTGTAGAACTCGACAGAAGAGTGAATACCACTTTCTAAAGAGGCTGTCTGCGCCCTCTCCCTTTCCCTTAACTCCCCTTTACATCCCCAAACCACCTTTGTCATCAGCTTTTCCTCTTTGCCACCGGATCTTCATGAAGACATGGGCAAGCATTAGTGGCTTCAGATGGGAGGCCAGCCTGGGACTTCCCCTGCAGTGAGAGAGCATCTTCCCCTGGTTCACGCCCCTCCCGTGCAGAAGGGAGCCTGCCTCCCTCCCTTCCTTTCTCCTACTGCAATAGGAAATTATTTTAGGGGTTGGAGGTGGGAAAAACAGGCTTGTTTCCACCAATAATGCCAAAAAGATACTGCCTAATGTGCACCTGTGAGGTGTGACGTCCCCCCCACCCCTTTGGAGAAGAGACAGCTCTTATTCAGTTGAGACCCCAGACTCTAGCCACACAAATGCCATGATGCCTGTTGGTATTTGGCAAAGCACTGACCCGTGTCCTCCCTTGCTCACACTGGGGTCTCTGGTGTGAACACCCCCGACGGCAGCCCTCCACCCCATTTGTCCCCGGGAGCCCTCATGGATTGTCTCCTGCACCAGCACAGGCAGGCGAGGGCTCCCCTTCATGTTCTCAGGCCGCAAGTGCAATGCCTGAGGGGATCAGGCTTTTCCACTCCAGGCAAACCTGCCCCATCTTGTCGCTTTTAGGACCTCCCACAACCTGGTTCCCCACACATCCATAGTTCTGCCTCCCCAGCTTCTCCTCCCCACTTGTAAATAGTATTTATTAGCTCATCCAGGCTTCCTGCTAGCAACCACACTGAAGAGATGGATGCCTCCTTTCCAGCCAGCAGAGTTTTCTGCTAGCCTTTAGAGCTAGGAGGGCACCTTAGGCTCTGGGATTCCCTATCTTTCCAGACAATATTTGATTTTCTTTCCTTTTTTTTTTTTTTAAACTGGACTAATTACCATTGAAAAAGAAATTCCCTTGAGCATGTATGTGTCTGCCTCTAGGATGAGGTCAGAGCAAGAGATGGCACAAAATGCCTTGCTCAGGCCTGGGGCTCCCTGGCCACAAGCTTTTTCTATCCTGTTTTCATGACAGAGAAGGGAACCCCTGTCCCTGACAACAGGCGTTTCAGACAAGCTTGCTGGCTTGTTTTTCCAGACCTGCGTGGCCCCTCCTTCCTCCACACCTCCACTTTGTCCTCCTTGTCCCCTGCCTCAGCAAAGCAGGATGGGGTAGGTGTCATTTGTGTATTCACACTCTTACCTTTTATAGTCAGGTCTGGCTACTTTGCAGCTCGCCCAAAGAGATACAACCTAAGCCCCAACCTACTTTTAGTTGTTTTTTTTATGATTAAAAGTAACTTTTGTAGTTTAAAAAAATCTTTCCTTTTTCATACAAATAAGAAATGGAAATTGCCTTTTTATTGTGTAACATAGAAGACAGACCCTCATGTGTTTTTTTCCTAGCTTGTGAAAGATTTTGTTTAGGAAATATGCATAGCGTTTGTATTTTACTTTTAGGAGCAGCTGAAATGCCTTTGGTTTTGCCTTCTGTCTCTCTCTCTCTCTCTCTCTCTCTCTCTCTCTCTCTCTCTCTCGCCCCACCCCGTCCCTCGCCACATCATCTGCATTGTTACTGGAGCCTGTACTTAGAGGGATTAAGGCCACACCCCGGCTTCCAGCCCATATCAGGTACAGGATTTGGTGTTATTAACATTTGTCATCATACCTCATAAGCGGGTCCCTGCTTTGTCTGTCTAGGCCGGTCTGGGGCTCCCTGTGAGTGATTCCCCTCTCTTGACTGTGCTGGAGAGGGTTCCAGCCTGGGAAGCGGCCAAGTTCATCTTCTCACTGAGTGGAAGCTGGATCGCCCTGTGGTCTGGGTGGTTCTTGTTGTCCCTCACATTAGCCAGGGCGGAGACTGTCTGGGCTGTGCAGGAGGAGGGCTGCTGGCAGGTTCTGCCTCTGCTGCTCTCTGCTCCACTGTCTGCAGGCCAGATCCTGTTGGGCCTGGCTGGTGTCTGGTAACTGTGGGCCTGCACTGACCCATCCCCCTCTTTTAAACTGTCAGGTCTTTATCAAACACAGGCAGCCTAGAGGGCCCAAAGAAGGCAAAAAGATAAAATTGACTCAAGTAGCATTTGGAAGGAAGGGTTTCAAATTTAAGGGAAGAAGTGAGAGAGAGAATGAGCCAGCCCATGTCCCTGCTGCAGCTGAACCAGATTGGGTTTTCAAGGTTCCCGGATACAGTCAGAGTAGAAAACAGAGGAGGGAGAAGATAAAGGAAACTTCTAGCCCCTGTCCTTAGTGCTTTGAGGATTTTCTCCTCTCCCTTACCTACCCTTATTTGACATCACTCTCTCTAGACCTCCAAACAGCAGGACTCTTTTTCTGGGAAGCTATCCTTCCAGAGTAGAATCTGTGTAGAGACATGGGACATCAGCTAGAGAGCTCAGATGGCCCTTTTAAGGGGGTTCCAAGAACCAGCATCACTGCTCTTTTAGATGAACCTCTGTCCTCCTCTCCTTGCTTGAGTGAGTTAAAGGAACTAACAGTTGTCCCTTTAGGAGGACAGAATGGGGTCAAGAGGGCACAGAAGAGTTGTATAGCCCCAGACTGGTTCCAAATAATTAATGGATGTACATTTTCTGTTGAGGGATTAAGACCAGACTATCCGTGGATTCGTTTTCCCTACCAAGTGGCCTCTTAGACTAGTCATTAACTTACAGTTAGTTCTGAAGATTTCAAATAGTGGCAGACACTGGCTCCTGAATGTACGTTTTGAGAAATACGAGTCTGTTAGAGGGGCCATAGCCATAAAGAGTAAATCTGTTAATTAAATTTTTCATCATGTAAACCGGTTTCCCATTTCCCTTTCTTAGATTGCGCTAGTGATGGAAATGCCTTGCAGAGATTCGGAGAACTAATTTTTCACTGGATAAGGCCTGAGTTACCCAGACCCCCCAGTGTGGTTCTTTTCACAGCTCTCGACTTCGCACTTAAAAAGGGATATTGTAAATGAAAGGCTGCAGTGCCAGTTTTAAGAAAGAATTTCTGTGAAGTGTGAGGACTCTGGAGTCTAGCTCGCATAAAGAGAGTGTTATATAAAAATCTGACAGCCGAACTAGGTTGCTCTTTTTTGGCAGGGAGTGGGGATGAGATTTGACATCAATATGGGCAAGATTAGATAACCTTTTGGTTAATAGAAATGATTTTTATTTGGAGACCTAAATTGTAGATTGTGAAAGCAGCTTTTAGTTCAACTTATTCACAAATCCCCTATAATGACCATACTTTTTTTTTTAGTTCTGAAATCTCTTGGTTCAGCTTGTGAATCTTATGTGCCCATAAAGTAGGGATGTTGAATTGGCTCTTCTTTGTTCTGGCAGTGAGTCAATGTCCAGCATTTTTTTTTTGTAGGTGTCTTATTAAAATTGTTTTCCAGCATTTTATGGCTCCTCCCTCTCATGTTTTCAGACCCAGAAAAAGCATAGAGACAGAATCCAGAGGCCTCTCCCGGCCAGCTCTTCTGCACACATGTCATATGAGGTGTGAATCTGAGCACACTCCAGAAATGGAGACATTCCACCCCCAGTTGAATCATGGCCCGTTCATGCTGACCTGGCTAACATAGGGAGGGCAGAGATGCAAGAGAAGGCCTTCATCCTCTCCTTCGTCTGCCCCAAGTCACTACAGCTGGCTCTGTTGAAGCCAGTGTTTAAGAAACCTGGGTTAGGCCGGGCGCGGTGGCTCAAGCCTGTAATCCCAGCACTTTGGGAGGCTGAGGCGGGTGGATCACAAGGTCGAGAGATCAAGACCAACCTGGTCAACATGGTGAAACCCCGTCTCTACTAAAAACACAAAAAATTAGCTGGGCATGGTGGCGCGTGCCTATAATCCCAGCTACTCAGGAGGCTGAGGCAGGAGAATTGCCTGAACCCAGGAGGCGGAGGTTGTGGTGAGCCGAGATCGCGCCATTGCACTCCAGCCTGGGTAACAAGAGCGAAACTCTGTCTCAAAAAAAAAAAAAAAAAAAGAAACCTGGGTTAAAGACACCAGCACTTCTGCTTGGTGGGCTGGCTGGACCTGTGAAGCCATGGGCAGGTGGTGCCCTCATGAGGGTCATTTTATTTGACCATCTTCAGCTGAGGCTATCTGTAAACATGATAGAATAGGCCCCGCTGGGAGGGCAGTTATAGGAGAAAGTAGGTGGTGGTGATGTGGGGACTGTGAAGGATCCAGAGACAAGTCTTAGATGTTTCATTCATTCACTCACTCATTCATTCAGTTACTCCTCAGACTTTTCAGTTTCATAAGGAAGAGTGTTGCCTGAGGCCCTAGGGAATATTGGGGAATAGAAGGAATTGAGGAAATATTAACAGTAGTTATTCAAAAGACCCAAATGCTTATGCCTCCCTCTCTCCCTCCTTGTCTCTCTGACACACACACACACACACACACACACACACACACACACACACTCCTCCCTTAGACGCTCATTTGTGCCTTAAATGTGCCTTATATATGAATCCAGGATGACTGAGTAATCCCTCGTCCATAGGAGATTTTGTATATATTCTTTTATTATTAGATTGAGGTGGGGGTAGGGGAAAGAATTTATTCCAAAGGCTCAAAAGTGGTTTCCTAAAAGTGAGCCACTGTCAGATTTGCACATCAGGAGAAAAGAAATAGGGTTATGTCCATTAGGAAAATCCCATTTTGCAGGAGTGCAATCACATCCAAAAAACAACCAACCAGGATTAAAGGTATTATAAATCCTCCCAGCGGAACATTTCTCAGGGCAAAGGAAAGTGGCCGATTTGAAGACTAATGTTCCATGCCTTTGTGGTGGAAGGGTCAGCATTTAACACAGGAAAAAACTAGGTATTGTTTTGTTATTTGGACAGCATAAAATTCAGGAATGTTTTATTTAGTCTTGTTTCTAGAAGGAAGGGAAATAATATGTCTTGAGCATTTACTAAGGTGTTGGGAGCTGTGCTAAGAAAGTTTTAAGTCTTTCAGTTTTATAGATGTAGAAGACAGGAATGATTCTTGAACATGGGATGAATAAAGAACTACGTAAAATGGGAAATGTAACAATTTCTGGACTCGCTGAGCCAATCCCTTCCTGTGGGCACACTGTAAACTTTTAAGTTCTCTGGGCAGGAATTACAGCACCTGCCCCCTGCAGTGGCCCTGCTGTGCAATGTTCACTGTTTCACTTCATGTTGGAGCAGTCCCCCTGGTGTCCATCTCCTATCTTTTTATTCCAATCTTCTGTGAGTTCCAGCTTGCAGGCTTTCCATCTGGGGAAAGGAAAACCAGGGGTTTTAGCTCTGTTCTCTGCTCTCATCCTTTGTTCACCAGCTGAGTGAGAACACGAACTTTTTGTACCATGTACCCATGGCTTACACTACTTAGAAAATCACCTTTTCAGATAAAACACTTTATGAGTTCACAGAGAACGCCAGCACTCTTTGACAAAATTGTGAGTGACCCTTTTTAAACAATGCTGAGCAGACTCTGGGCTGTAATCAACGGTGAGCTTTAATGTCTATGCTGACAGGCTTTGCTCTCTTTTGTAACATGTTACGTAGACCAGCAGTGTTTAAATCTAAATATGTTGTGAGTCTGTTTTCTGTCCTATCACGTTTTTTAAAATGACTTTTCATTCTTTAACACAGCTAAATAAATACCAAAAAAAAAATATAAAAATACGCTTTGTAGGACACTTGTACTTAGTTTGGGGGAAAAAAATTGAAATTATGCTTTTGTATTTCCATTTCTTGCAAATAAATATTTTTTCTTAAATAGTAAGATGTTGCCCAGTCTTTACAATCTTGGTAATCTGTTTTGAAAAGCATATATTTTTTTTTTTTTTACAAGCATGGGTTTGTGTGTTATGTGCTGAACCATTCTTTCCTGGATATCTAGTTGGCCCGAAGGAAGAGCCTCAAACCAGAAATCGGTATGTTGTATAGGACGGAGTCCAAGCCTCAGCTGGAGGAATACTGAGAATGTAATTGTTTTTTCAGGCAGCCACAGGAAGAAAAACAGTATCCTCTAGAGACGTAGGCAGCCTGACTGCTATTTTCATTGTCTCCTCTCACTATTCCCTAACTAGATTTCAACTGTCTATGGATTTGATTTTGCTTTCCCCATATCTGGTTGCTTCAGAAAGATCCTTTGGACTTGAGCCAGAAAGGAATGATCCTTCTCCCTATGAACAGTTGCAGAAGATGTCTAACAGATTCATGCTCCAGAAATTCTGATGAAATGGTTGAGAAAGGTCAATGCATTCAAGCAGAGTAATCTTCATTCCATTACAATGTCTGGATCCAAAGGTAGCTTTCTTTACTCGGAGAGTGGGGGCTTCGTTTAGTCTCAGAAAGACTGCCTTGGGATGTTAGAGACTAAGGCAGGAACTGTGCTTACCTGGAAAAACAAAACAAAACAAAACATGGGTTTTTTTTTTTGTTTGTTTGTTTGTTTTGTGTTTTTTTCCTTAGCAGCATGCCTAACCCTGCTTTGCTCTGGCCTTGAAGGTGCATGAATCTGCTGTGTCTTGTTCTCCGCAGAGCACCTTGACATTCTGTTTCTGCACAAGGGAGCCTTTCCCTGCAGAGGCTTTGATGATTATGCCCCATTCTTTCTTTTGTGGGGAACCCATTTCTGAAGCCCCCTCCTTCCCCTGGAGTATGCTGATATCTTCAGTGGTGTGTGGAGGGGGCAAATACTCAATGATTTGAGAATGTTCTGTATTAATCATGCCTTTCCATTGACTGAATTTTTTTTTTTTTCTTTTTTTTTGAGACAGAGTTTCGCTCTTGTTACCCAGGCTGGAGTGCAATGGTGCGATCTCGGCTCACCGCCACCTCCGCCTCCTGGGTCCAGGCAATTCTCCTGCCTCAGCCTCCTGAGTAGCTGGGATTACAGACACACGCCACCATGCCCAGCTAATTTTTTTTTGTATTTTTAGTAGAGACGGGGTTTCACCATGTTGACCAGGATGGTCTCAATCTCTTGATCTCGTGATCCACCCGCCTCGGCCTCCCAAAGTGCTGGGATTACAGGCTTGAGCCACCGTGCCCAGCTCCATTGACTGAATTTCTAACGCTTTGACATCTAGGGCCTTGCTGACCCTGGAGAGACCACCGCTGCCAGGGCTCACCCGTTCCTACCTTAGGAGTCTGCCTTTCATATACAAACCAACCAACCTGGAGCCCATAGCCCAGCCACCTCCTTTGAGGCCTCTTGTACTCTGGGCCACTCTTCTTCTACCCTAGGTTCCCTAGGACCGGGTACCAGACAACTAGAGACAGTCTCTAGCCCCACAGCCTACTGAAATTATTCAAACTAGCCAAACATGTGTACCCTGCCTCGCCTGTTTTTTCCTGCGTAAACCACAATAAAAACCCTTGCTCACATTTTCCCTCTGTTTCTCCTGCTTCTTGACCCCCCCTGGTGTTTCCCCATGTGGCTTTGGGTGACATGCCCTCCCCTCTTGGGAACTATGAGTAACAAGCTGTCTTTTCTTTTCAAGGGCCTCACCATCCCTGAATAATCATACCATAAAAATCTGCTGTTCTCACCATCCCTGAACAATCATACCGTAAAACCTACATTTTAGAATAAATATCAAATGAGAGACTGATCCCAGACTCATGGGCGTCTGGAGTTTCACAGCTGGTCCTGCTGTGATTGAGTTTGAGGGAATACAGATCTATTATCTCTTTGCACACTAGTTGTCACTTTAGTTCTGGAGAGGAAAAATGAGAGCTATACGGAGTAGTGTGGCCTTGTTCATGGGAAGAGAAAGCAGTGTCAAAAACCCTGGTCCCGTGCTCAGGTTCCAGGT